GAGGAGAGAGGGGGAAGTGTTTAATCTGACTCTGTCCTCTTCTCCTGGGGGTGAGGATGGAGACACATGTCCTCTCCTGTCCCCTAGTGGACAGGGAGCAGACAGAGGCAGGACCAGCTTCTTACCCGCTCAGTCCAGATGCTCCTCTGGAAACCCTGGGGGCGGGGGGACGGGGGACGGGGTATTATTGTCCTTTTGGTGGAACTAGAAAAGGTTGCAGTGCAGCCTCAGCCGAGTCTATCTGGATGTGTTGTGTTGGTCCTGTAGGAACATGTGCGGTGCTCTGCTGCCTCCTGTGGCAGGAACCATCATTACTCTGAAGGTGCACAAGGAGCTGAAACAGAAGCTTCTTCTCTTCTCCTCGCTCTGGTGTCTTCACGTTTTAAATACATTTAAGATACAGCAGCTCTGCTTCCTATCAAAACAAAGAACTGACGGCCCGAGCTGGACGCGATGATGCAGGTGCATGCTGGGTAATAACATCCCTGTGCTACGATATCCTACTGTCATAATAACATCGGAGGATTTAAAGATTTTTTTTTTTTTTTATACAACTCAAGACGGCAGGGGGCGTGCTCGCTAATGTTAGCTTAGCTAACCAGGCTACTGCTAGCTTAGCTTTGTTAGCCTTCCAGAGACTTTGTCCCATTTTAATTGACATTATTTGACATGGAAGTGAGTCGAGAAAGAACCTTTAGAACCTATAAATAATTTGGTGTCAAAGGTCAAGTTCCCCAGGACCTCCCTAAAGACCACAACTCCCACAAATGCTGGATAATATAAAACAGTTGTAAACTGCGGGAGGACGGGGAAAGAGAGCTGCTAGCTTGCTATGCTAAGCTAGCAGCTCTTGTGTTCTCTTTGTAGTGGCCGGCTATGGCCAGGTGAGGGCGCCCTGATATATGATGTTATGATGTACGTGTGAGAAGAAGTATAACAACAAGTGTTCGAGTTGCATCCTGATGGTTGTGTCCTTGGCTCTGATGTTCCTGGCACGTACATTTATTTGATGACCAGGAGACAAACAGGAGACCCAAAGGAGTCTTTAGGTGGGGGGGTGTCCTCAATCGAGATCCGTAGCCACGAGACGAGAACATCTGGTTCCTTAATGCATCCAAACCCAGAGGACGAAAAGCATGGGGAGGAGGAAGAGGAGAAGCAGGAAGAGAGGGATGAAGAGGAGGTTTGAAGGTGGACCTAGATCCGGGTGACCAGGTTCCATTTACCTTATTCAGCGCTCGGTCTTCTCTCTGGTTCTTCTGCAGCACGTGTTGCAGAGCCAGCTGAGTCTTCTGCTGCAGCTTCTCCACCTGCAGCCACGACCATCTGAAGCACAACAGCAGTTTTACAAGTGTTAAGGTCAGAGGTTAGTGGCCTCGCCTGCAGAGAGCAGGATGAAGGCTGAGAATAGAGCCAGCTCGTCCTCGGTGAGACACAGCGAGCACATCCCTTCAGCCAAGTCGAACACCAGGTCACAACCAGGAAACACAGCAGATAAATAAGATACACCTTCAAACTCCACAAAGACAGCAACTAGTGAGGTAATGAAGCAGCCGCGGACCACAATGCAACTGTTCTAAACAAATGAGCTATGCCAATTAGCCATCGAGCTAACGTAAGCTAATAAAGTAACTGCATCAATTCCTGCAAAAAGAAAAGCGAATACAGACATGCAGGTATATATATATATATATATATACATATATATATATATATATATATATATATATATTTTTTTTTTCTGCGTTTACTTGTATATGTGCGTGTATATCTGCGTGTACTTGTATATGTTGTAAAGGTCTGGTAGTTTATGTATATGTCTATGGTTCTCCTCATAGACGTGTATATATAAAGGCTTTTATGTGTCTATGGTTCTCCTCATCATCCCTGTAAGCGGCCCGTTTTACGGCAGCACCGGCGTCTTTACGGCAGCACCGGCGTCTTTACGGCCCCCCGCTTTCTCACAACATCAGACAACATGGCCGCTGCGGATCCGCGTCCCGCTGCTGGAGCGGTGTCAGCGGAGAACCAGGAGAGCCCTGCGGCGGGGAGACATGCCGGGCCACCGGGAACCGCCCCCCGGGACAAGCCCGTGTGTCTCATCGTGCTGGGCATGGCGGGGTCCGGGAAGACCACCTTCGTCCAGGTGAGTCGGCGCGTGTGGCTAACGGCAGCTAGCCGCGTTAGCTAACGCTAGTTTCTCCAGGCACGCAACGCGCTAGCAAGGCTAGCTAGCTAGCTAGTGAATTAGTTAGCTAACGTCGGTTAGCTCATTTAGAACGTTGTCTTAAAACCTTAATTAAATATGAGCTTGCAAACAGTTATTCATACTCCGGAGAAGCACAAGGGCCTCAGATTCGTGCTCAACTTTAATTTACTTCCGCCATTGCACCCGACATATAACGTTAGTTTTGCTTCAGCACGATTGAAACAATTTCAAAGTGAGTAACGGTGTTATTTAATAAAACATACATCGGAATTGTCAATCAAATATAGTAAATAACGCTGAGATTGCCAACAGTCGCCATAAAAACTACAGCAGTTGTTTTAGGAAATGAATCATTTTATTGAACAATAGTTTGCTGTTGAGTATAAACCGACATTAACAGACATCCAGCCTCCCGTCTGACGTCAGTCTGTCTCCTGCAGCGGCTGACGGCGCACCTTCACTCCGTGAACGCGCCTCCGTACGTCATCAACCTGGACCCGGCGGTGCACGAGGTCCCGTTCCCCGCCAACATCGGTGAGCGCGCGTGTTGATATGTCATGTTGCTGATGGATGCTTTAGGGGCGGGGCTACTCGCTGATTGACAGGTCTCTGCATCCTCCTCAGCCGACATATGGTCACTTCCTCTTCACTGGTTAATAGGAAATCAAATCTTACTCCCGGCACAGTCCTCATTTCATTTTTCCGTCTGTCTTCTGTCCTCCAGACATCAGGGACACTGTGAACTACAAGGAGGTGATGAAGCAGTACGGCCTCGGGCCGAACGGGGGCATCGTGACTTCACTCAACTTGTTCGCCACACGCTTTGATCAGGTGACTCGGTCTGACTGCGCCTTCGTATTTGTTCAAGATTAGACGTAATTCTGTCTGTATTTCGTGAAATTTGGATGATTCAATTCGTTTTGTTCAGCACCAAATTGCAAATTAGCCTCGGGTGGTGTTGTAATGTGCTCACATGTGAGATCCTCTGACCTTTGACCCTGTCATCAACACAGGAAAAACTCCTCCCAAAATCCCTTTTAAAGGGGAGTTTTTCTCCCATTAAGGAAGAAACCTTAAGGAGACAGACAGGAGGGATATAATACATGATTATAATTATCCATCCATCCATCTTCACACCGCTTATCCTGCACACAGGGTGGGGGGGCTGGAGTCTATCCCAGCCAACTAATCATAATTACTACAGAGCACTGGTTTCCAACCACCGGTACTGGTCCCAAGAAAGAATACATTTATTTTAATTTGATCTTTCTCGATTAGATAAAATTCAAATTTATTTTCTTTAAAAAATGACTGGATTCTTTCCCAATTACATGCGTTTGTCCTTCCTGACACATTTCAGGAAGCTTGTCTCCGTCATGTGATAATTACTGCAAAACAAACCAGCCGAGAAAGAAAGCGAGCAAAAACCTTCCGAGTTTCCTTGGAAAGAGGAAAAGTTCCCTGAGGAGACGAAGGAGAAAGGAAGCCTCATTTGAGTATCAGCACAGATCTATCTGCATTATGTGGATGGATGTTTCATACCGATCGGGTTTTATTTAGTCGTGTGTATCCGCCGCTCCTTGAGGACCATCCGCCAAATAACCTCCATCCTGTGAGGGGGGATGTTTGGAGGTGGAACCTGCTGAACTAGTGACTCCTCCTGCTGTCCTCGTGCACTTTGCTCTCAACTGTCCATCATGTGACACTCCTGAAGTGCCAGGACGTTTTCCAAACCTCGGCCTTTTAGGGACACGGTGGTGGTCCTCTGCAAGGGGGATGTTGAGATGGAAGTAGCCTAGTGCCTAGCTTAGCCTAGCGGCTAGCTTAGCCTAGCAGCTAGCTTAGGCTATCCGTCCCAAACTTCCGTCCACGCTTCTGGAGTCAATCCCAGCTATCGTCCAGCGAGGGACGATGTCCACTGGACTGGTCTCGGTCACAGAGGGACACACAAGCATCACGCTCGCCGAACCGTGAGGTCTGCGAGCCGTTGCTCTTCCAACCTTTTCTGTCACAACCACCATGAAGGAAGAGATGTTGATCCCCGCCGGCTCCAGAATCAGTCGGGCAAACTGTTGAGTGGACCGGAGGAGGTGCAACACCAAACCCACTCAGTGCACATGCGTGTCAGCCATCTTATAAAGCACAATTTATCAGTAAAAGTGGCTCCAATAAACCGGCTTTCCACTAATCGTTCCTTAACAGGTTGCAGACTCTCAATCCATAATCACGTGTCGCTCTGATCGGTATCCAGTTTGGAGGCAACAGCCGTCTGTGTACTTTTGTATTGTAAGTTGTGAAAGAATTTCCACGCGTGAAGCCACCTGTGAGTGACAGTCTGTCACGTTGAACACGTCGGCCTTCAGTCCTCAGGAGAGACGGCTCCTTGTGGCCCATTCAGGCCTAAAGGAGAGTCCTTCTGTGCCGTGAGGACCTCTGCTCAGTCCGGAGGGATTCTGTCCGACGCCAACCGACACGTGTCTCACATCAGCAATTGTGTCTTTTGTGTTGTTCAGAAAGCGAAGTGAGCTCCCAGAAGGGTCCACGGGTCCTAGTGAGGGTCAGACACTGAAGCAGAGAGGAGCATCTTTTACTTTTCATGTGTTGATGGCGTTCGATTTCTTCTGCATACGACGGCGTTAAAAAGCATCAAAGGAGGACGACGTTGTGAGTCCGTGGAGTCTAACCTACTTGTGTCTCTGTTCCTCAGGTGATGCATTTCTTGGAGAAGAAGCAGCAGAACCACCGGTGAGTGAAGGAATGAAAGTGGGTTCCTGGTCTCTGTGTCCCCCGGAGGCTCCTCCTCTCTGTCCACCTCTCACCCTCCGATGCCTCCTGTCCTCTGCAGCTACGTGCTGATCGACACGCCGGGTCAGATCGAAGTCTTCACCTGGTCAGCGTCTGGGACCATCATCACCGAGACGCTGGTTCGTGCATCTACTCGTGCAGCAGCTCATTCCAGCCTCCTCGTGGTGCTGAGGCTTGTTTGTCGTTTCAGGCCTCGTCCTTCCCCTGCGTGGTGATCTACGTGATGGACACGTCCCGCAGCGTCAGCCCCGTCACCTTCATGTCCAACATGCTGTATGCCTGCAGGTAGGAGGTCTAAGGGATACAAGAACAAACAACCAACAACTAGTTGTTCCAATGCCTAAAAACGTAAATCGGATCCCACTAGATTCATACGAGGAGTCAACTTAAAATCATATTGTAACTGTAGACGAAACATTTTAAATTCATAAAAACAATGACCTTAAGTATATTATTTATGAGAAATGCAAATGTCTGAATCCCGGATGTCTTTGTGTACAAAGCGAAGCTACAATTGTCTTTGTCTCCTTCCCAGACATCCAGATATCACAGAAACACCTAAATGCGTCTCTCACTCACCGATATGAAGGCGTATTTATGCTGACGATATCCAGCAGGGGGAGCAAGCGGGACGCATAAAAGAATATTAAGTCTCTGTCTCTGTGTCTCCCTCAGTATCCTCTACAAGACCAAGCTGCCCTTCATCGTCGCCATGAACAAAGTGAGGTCACTTCCTGTCTGCTTCCTCCTCCAGTGTCGTCTGCGCGTTGCTCACTGGTCCTTGTTGTTGTTGTTGTTGTCAGACCGACATCATTGACCACAGCTTCGCGGTGGAGTGGATGCAGGACTTTGAGGTGTTCCAGGACGCTCTGAACCAGGAGACGTCGTACGTCAGCAACCTGACGCGCTCCATGAGCCTGGTGCTGGACGAGTTCTACGCCCACCTGAGGGTGAGCGCAGCTAAGAGCATCAGACCTCAAGACTCCTTTAACCTCAGGACCTCCAGCTGGTCCTCTGGGTTACGGTTCTGGTGCTTTAAACGGTTTGTCCCACGGATACACCGACTGTCTGAACCATGGAGGCAGAAGCAGATCTGAGGTTAAACTGCTGTTTGGTAGCAGAGGTAACGGCTTCAGATCTCAGCGAGGAACATAATGCACGCTGACGTAGAATAACCGTAGTAGCAGTACGTGACTTTATTCTGGTACCGGTACCACTGTAGTGGAACAACCCCCCTCAACCAGCTGCTGCTCCTTCAGTTCATCAAGTGCTTATGACCTCGCCTAACCCTAACACCACCCCACCCCCCCCACCCCCCGCTTTCAGGTGGTGGGCGTGTCCGCGGTGACGGGGAGCGGCTTGGACGAGCTGTTCGTCCAGGTGGAGGACGCCGCCGATGAATACGAGAGGTGATCCTTCAAGATAAGATCTTCCTTTATTAGTCGAACCCTCCGTGTCACTGGTTCATCTCGACCATTTAAAAACTGGAATGTTTGATCCTACTGGCTGATTTTTAAAGTTCCTCCTAATTCCTCAGGGAGTATCGACCCGAGTACGAACGACTCCGCAAACAGCTGGTGAGTTAGTTTTTGTATTTAATACATTATATATATATATATTACTGTAGTTGTCTGCCTGTAGTCATCGTGTCCCTTGACTTGTCTGTCAGGCGGCGGCTCAGAGCAGGAAGCAGCAGGAGCAGCTGGAGCGACTCAGGAAGGACTTGGGAGCCGTGGACATGACGGCCGCGGCGCCAACGGGTCCGAGCGTTTACCGTCTCCGTGCCACGTCAGCTGGTCGCCTGCTGCTCTGCGTAATAACGCTGTGTTCTTCTGATTGACTTCCTGTCGGCAGAGGCAGCGGACACGCCCAGCTCCAGTGACCTCATCATGTCACGCGGTAACCCTGACGACAGCGAGGAGGACGAGGACAGCGACACGGACGACATTGATCACAGCGGTGAGTAGAGCGAGCTGTCACATCGTAAAAACAGATAGCCGCTAACGCCGTCAGCCGAAGGGGCGACCAGAGGGCGGGTGCTACGTTTCCATGACGACGCTGTCAGAGCGACCCAATGGGAGCTGAGTGGCACCGCGAGGTCTCAGGCACTAAACGTAAAGAGAAGACGCTCTGACATCGACACACAGACTTCGTTCTACATCTTTACAGAGATATTTATTGAGATTCATGTCTTTGAAAGACGAATGTAGTCGAACTCGTCTTTTGTAAATTACTTTCCAGCAACGGAGGAGAGCAAAGAGGTCGACGCCTTTGGAAACTTCCTGAAAGAAAGGAAGGAAGTGGTTCAGGTCCGAAACAGAAAGTGTGCCTTGCCCGATGACCCCTGACCTCTCACGCTGTCGGGACTAAAGACATTGACAGAAGCACAGCCTGCACTTCCTGTCTGATCAGGTGACCCCGTGACCTCGCTCGTTCACCGCAGCTCATTGGCTGCTTCTCTCCCTGATGAAAAAGAAGGATATATTTTTTTATCATAAAAGACTCTTCTGTTTGTCTTGTGTTCCTGTTGACGTTTGTTTGTAAAAGTACTGAAGGGATTTATGTTGCATAAAATATCTTTCAGTTCAAGTTTGCTTCTCTTTGTAACCATCTGCCTCTACTTTAAGAACTGAAGACCCGGTTGCCGATGGCAACCAGCCGCTCATCGGTTTGACTTCAGCCGGAGCTCTGAGGGATTTTCAAAGAGTAACTAATCACGAAAGAATAGCCGGGGTGCTGTGTGTGTGTGTGTATATATTATATATATATTTCTGATAAAACCCTCATTGATTGTAGTGTTTGCGTGGACCCCACAGTGTAACTAGTGGGGTCCTTAACAAACATCCGGAGCACATCAGCAACCCAACGGTTTGACAACAGATAGCTGTAAAATGTCTCTTACTGTAGCAGTTGGCCATGAAAAGTGTTTTCTAGTGACCAAACGCTAACGTCCTGTTAGCCAGTGCTAGCACGCTCACTGGGCGGATTTACTATGACAACTACATTATTCAAATAGACCTCGTGGTTGCACATGAAATAAATTGGTTCTAATGAAGCTATAAATCCGCCCTCTTGGATTACATTGTGTTTTTACTGCAGCCGGTCAACGGCGGGGCGGCACGCTGCTGGCGTGGTGGACACCACCGTGGCCTCACAGCAGGGAGGTCCTGCAAACAGGCCGATCTGACACTCAATGTTTGCATATTAACAAATCTAAATAGGTGATTGTATTTTGTTGACGGCTCAGTGGACGGTGGCTTTCACACTTTGTATTTTGGTATTAGCATTGTTTTTGTTTGTTTGCTAGCTACAGCTAACTGAAGCTAACGCAGGTACCGTCTCTCTGAACTCCCACGCTGTCAACTTCATCAAAAGCACCACGTTGTCTGATGTATCTGATTGGTCCTTATTCACGTCTCTGCTCCCCTCAACGGATTCTGGATTTTCTCCTGATGACTCTTTGTCTCTGTCCCCCTCTCTCATTCACATGTCTCCGTCCCTCTCTCTCATTCACGTGTCTCCGTCCCTCTCTCTCGTTCACGTGTCTCAGTCCCTCTCTCTCGTTCACGCGTCTCCGTCCCTCTCTCTCGTTCACGTGTCTCCGTCCCTCTCTCTCGTTCACGTGTCTCCGTCCCCCTCTCTCGTTCACGTGTCTCCGTCCCCCTCTCTCGTTCACGTGTCTCCGTCCCCCTCTCTCGTTCACGTGTCTCCGTCCCCCTCTCTCGTTCACGCGTCTCCGTCCCTCTCTCTCGTTCACGCGTCTCCGTCCCTCTCTCTCGTTCACGCGTCTCCGTCCCCCTCTCTCGTTCACGCGTCTCCGTCCCCCTCTCTCGTTCACGCGTCTCCGTCCCTCTCTCTCGTTCACGCGTCTCCGTCCCTCTCTCTCGTTCACGCGTCTCCGTCCCTCTCTCTCGTTCACGCGTCTCCGTCCCTCTCTCTCGTTCACGCGTCTCCGTCCCTCTCTCTCGTTCACGCGTCTCCGTCCCTCTCTCTCGTTCACGCGTCTCCGTCCCCCTCTCTCGTTCACGCGTCTCCGTTCCCCTCTCTCGTTCACGCGTCTCCGTCCCTCTCTCTCGTTCACGCGTCTCCGTCCCTCTCTCTCGTTCACGCGTCTCCGTCCCTCTCTCTCGTTCACGTGTGTCCGTCCCTCTCTCTCGTTCACGCGTCTCCGTCCCTCTCTCTCGTGCACGCGTCTCCGTCCCTCTCTCTCGTGCACGTGTGTCCGTCCCTCTCTCTCGTTCACGCGTCTCCGTCCCTCTCTCTCGTTCACGCGTCTCCGTCCCCCTCTCTCGTTCACGCGTCTCCGTCCCCCTCTCTCGTTCACGCGTCTCCGTCCCTCTCTCTCGTTCACGCGTCTCCGTCCCTCTCTCTCGTTCACGCGTCTCCGTCCCTCTCTCTCGTTCACGCGTCTCCGTCCCTCTCTCCTGTTCACGCGTCTCCGTCCCTCTCTCTCGTTCACGCGTCTCCGTCCCTCTCTCTCGTTCACGCGTCTCCGTCCCTCTCTCTCGTTCACGCGTCTCCGTCCCTCTCTCTCGTTCACGCGTCTCCGTCCCCCTCTCTCGTTCACGCGTCTCCGTCCCCCTCTCTCGTTCACGCGGCTCTGTCTGTCCCACGCTGTCATGGTTGGAGCTGAAGAGCTGAGTCACTTCCCCACTAAACCACTACTTGTGTACAATAACATTTATTGCCAAATGATGAAGTACTTATTAGTTGTCTTGGCACCAATAATACCAATATAGTTATATACCAATATATATTTATATATAACTATTAGGGCTGTCAATAGATTAAAACATTAATTAATCTCACATTTTGAAATTCATTAATCACGATTGTCTTAATCTTTAACACACAATCATTTTAGAAAGTGTGTCTTTTACACGCGGTTGTTTATATCATCTCCGATAAAGACTTAAATCGAAGTGGCTGCTGTTCCTAATCGCTCCACTGGGGGCGCTCTGAGTCGGCACATGCGTTGGTCTAGCGGGGGCCAGAAGGTCGATGGACCCCCCCCCCCCCCCTTTAGGCACCATTAACTATGATCCTACTGGTCTGGGGGGCTGTGGCCCCTTACCTAAGACGAGGCCACACCCCCCGCTGGAGTCCTCCTCGCTGCTGGACGTTGCAAGGAGACCTGATGGTGTCTCCCAGCACGATCTCCAGAACGTGGAGATATCAGGGGACAGGGGAGCTGGACACCGCCGAAGGAGGTCCTCCACCATCAGCAGGACCGATGTCTGCTGCTTTGTGCCAGAAGGAGCGTGTTGAGACTGCTTGAGTCCTACAGAAGGGCCTCCAGCCCGCCTGCTGGGCCAGGTCCCCCTCTGATGTCCACCGTCCAGGCCCCCCTCTGATGTCACCACCCATTTCTAACCACTGATGTCCACGCTGTCGCTACCACTGAGGCCCCCGCATTTGAGTTTGGGAAAGGGAAATTTGGCAAATGGATCAGCATCATTTTTCATTCATTTCACTTGGATGTGTCTGTTGTTGCTTTAATTGGAGCAGCGTGTATCTACATCTTATATATGAAGACAAACTCTGTCTCCATCTGTCTGTGACTCACTTCAGTTGACCGTCCTCTCCCCCGTCCCCCGTCCCCCCCAGTGGGCTGCAGACACGAGCACAAACAGACTGAGTCACGGCGCCTCGCCGACACAAACGAGCACACGACTGCTGGCGGAGTGTCAGACACACACACACACACACACACACACACACACACAAACCGGTTTAAGCTGGTTTCATTTTCATGAAGCTAATCGGTTGATAAGAGCACTTTCCATAGTTTGGGGGTTTCCTGTGACACGTGAAGGTTACGGAGGATGTCGGATGTCTTCACACTGTAAAGACACATGAGGCTAATTTATAATTTGCGATATTTGGCTCTACAAAATAAAATGAATTGATTTGAATTGAAACAATGCAACAAATCCTCTTCTGTGATTGGTTCATTTTCTCTCCCGGCTGACGGATCTTTTTAAACCCGATTAGAAGAAAATCTGTAGATCTTCTGTGTAAAATGATTAATGTGTCACACAAACACACTGAAACACCTCAGCATGACATCACTCCAGCGCGGTGACCTCATCATCTGGACTCAGAGATGATGTCATTGCTTCCAGTTAATCTGCTGCTGAGTGTCTGCAGAGGCCCCGCCCCCTTTCTATTGCATGTCTGCTCTTTTTATTCAATAAATATTTTTATCACATATCAATATATATTTCATTTCTATTCATTTTCACTGCACTGAATTCTGTCCTATTGTTTTCATAATATATTGTTTGTTATTTCATGCTCCGTTTTATCATTTTCATAAATGTTTATTGGATTTTTCATTATACTCATTTAATTCTTCTCTTTTTCATATTTTTTATATTTCAATGTACTCTGTTTTGATGTATTTAATACCCTATTTTACTTTATTCTGTTTTTTGTAAACACACTCCTCTAAGAAACACACACACACACACGCACACACACACACACACACACACTGGCTGTGTGGCATCCAGAGCTATCAGCTGATTGGCTGGAGGTGACATCACCAGTTGGGATGTGGAGGCAGTTTCTCTCCTTGTTGCTGGAGCCTTTTGCTCTCTGCCTCCACACGCACACACCTACACACGCACACACCTACACACACACACACCTACACACACACACACACCTCCACGCACACACCTACACACACACACACCTACACACACACACCTACACACACACTGCAGCTGCATTACATCATCTGCTTCAGTGAGAGGAGACACGAGGAAGCGTGTGTGGGAACAATGTGTTCTGCCGTGGTGCATGATGGGAACTGTAGTCCCCAGCTAGAGCTGCAGAGCTTCTTCAGGTTCTCTACTTGTAGCTCTGAACTCGGAGCTTCACAAATCAATGACTGTGTTTTAAACAAGTGGAACAAAGTGGCAGCTGGTGAGCCAGAGAACCTGTAGGAGAACCTGTACGAGAACCTGTACGAGAACCTGTGATCATAGGACGTCTGCTGGAGCAGCGCCGGTGAGTTCTGAAGCAGAGCGGCAGATGGTCAACGACCAGACATGGTGGATGACTCACGCCCCGCTGGCAGCCGCCACATTTAGAGCTGACAGTTCCTCAGAAGCACATCGACCCGACCGTCCGGATCCATCCAGAACCAACCACATGAACCAGAACCAACCACATAAACCAGAACCACCCAGAATCAACCATATAAACCAGAACCACCAAGAATCAACCATATAAACCAGAACCACCTACATGAACCAGAACAAACCACATAAACCAGAACCACCCAGAATCAACCATATAAACCAGAACCACCAAGAATCAACCACATAAACCAGAACCACCAAGAATCAACCATATAAACCAGAACCACCCAGAATCAACCACATGAACATATGAACAATAAACTGATAAACATTCTTGTATTGATCTCTATTAGAACCGTGATGAGGAGCTTTCGGCCTCTGAAATCAACCCCCCTCCTCCTCCTCCTCCTCCTCCTCCTCCTCCTCCTCCGCCCTCTGCCCTGCTGGACCAATCACAGCCTGGCGTCCCTGGCAGCCAATGGGATGGCCGGTGGGTGATGTCATGCAGCGAGCTGCTGTTTGGTGCTGATGCTGCTGAGCTGCAGATCTTCACTCTGAGCAGAGCGAGCGAGCGTCACTGCAGGTGAGTCCACGTCTGTGGTTCATGAGCATTTCATCACGTCTGTGAGCTTTAAAAGCCAAACACGCAGACAGATCACAGCGGCGTCTCTTATTTCCTTCCGCCTCTTTGTTTAAATCATTTAAATTATTTTCATCTTTTCCTGCGTCTCCGTCTCAGTTGCTTCTTTATTTCCTGCATCTTCTTTTTTTGTTACTCGTCTTTTTCTTCATAAAGCGGTTTAGTGTTTGAGCTCCACTCTGCAGAAGCTGACAATGACATCATCGCTTAGTCGCCGCACACACACACACACACACACACACACACACACACATTCTGACACGTTGGGATCAGCTCTTAAATAGGCAGCAAACAGAATCATGTATTTATGATTTGCTTCTCTTGAGTTTCTCTTCTGAATCTTTATGTTTGTTGAGATTTGGACGTATTTGTTTTCACAGTTTATGATGCAAACGAGGCTTTGTGGTGCATGAAGCAGCGTCTTTCGCTGTAGTCTTCTCAGGTTGAACATCTGGATTCTGATGAAGGAATATGCTGACTTTTAAATCTAAATGATTTGAAGCCACTAGACGATGGGAGGGAACACGTAAAACCAAAAGACGCATCAAAGATCACAAGAAACTAGATATCTGGGAAACACATGTCACAACAAGCGCTCCATCAGTTTCTCCTCTTCATGTCACCTTCTGTTTGGTTCTTCTGTGGTCCCTGTGGATTAACTGACTGTGTCTCCTCAGGAACACTCTACCTCACCACAGTGTCTTCGACAGAGAGCCGCAGAATGACTCTAGCAGGTAAACCTCTTCTGATGGACTTCCCTCTCCTCACGTTCCTCTGCTTCTTCTGACTGATTCCCTGCAGGTCTGTTGCTCATCTGCAGCTGTTCTCCTTCTCTCTCTCTCTCTGAACGGTCCAGCATACAGAGAGAAGATGCGAGAGCTTCCCCTGGTGTCTCTCTTCTGCTCCTGCATCCTCCCCCAACGCAGAGACGCCTCGGCCGACCAGAAGGAAGGTCAGCAGCCCTCTTTAGTGATGCGATGACATTAGCTCCACGTGATGCTTTATTCAGAGATGTGATGGCGAAGAAGCCGGAACAAAGACACCGTGGGTGGTCTCATGTTCCCGTGTCCTCCTCCCAGTAGGCGTGGTGGACCTGAACCTGTGCAACATTCGCCACATGGAGGTGATCGAACTGAGCAAGCGGTCGAGCGGCCAGGCCTTCGAGGTCATCCTGAAGCCGCCCTCCTTTGACGGCGGCCCCGAGCTCAGGGCGACCACGCCGCCTCGCCAGAAACCGTCTCTGGAGGAAATCCAGAAGAAGCTGGACGCCGCTCAGGAGAGGAGGAAGGTGGGTGATGATGAGTAGAATGCTAATTGTTACTGTGATGTCTGAGAAGAACCATTTGATCCGTCGTTAATGAAATGAGGCTTTGGGCTTAATGCTGACATCAACATGCTGGCACTGCTAACACTGCTTAGCATGCTAATGTTTGCTTATTAGCTCCACAAATAACGCTAAGAGGGAAGATCATTATTTTTGCCGGTATTTAGTCATAAAAACAACAAAGTGAAGTTCACCCTGAGAAGAAACATAAATGTCTGTAGTAATTTCTCAAAACATCCATCCAATAGTAGTGATGTTTCAATCTAGCCTCAAGTGGAGGGGCCCACCAATCGATCCCTGAGGGACGCCACCAGTTATTTACAGCGTGCCAGAATTCAGGAAATCAAGACCGTAAAGGAAATTAATTTAGTTTAATGCTAAATTTCTGAATATTGGTCATTCAAAATCAAGCACAGACAGAAAGCTCAACAGGCTCAGTAGATGAAACAATAATCTTCTGTCAAACCTGCAGAAGAAAACTTTGTCCTCTTTCTCCCCCAAGTGTCAGGAGGCGGAGCTTCTGAGGCACCTGGCCGAGAGGCGGGAGCACGAGCGGGAAGTTGCACAGAAAGCCCTGACCAAAGAGCGCCAGGAGCATCGCGCCGACGCCGCCAAGGAGCAGCGGCAGATGCACGAGAACGCCCCGCTGGAGCGACTGCACGCGGAGGTGAGCGTGCACGTGGTGTCGCCTGTATCACAGACGCCATTCTGCATTCTGTTTGGTGGGAATGAACCGCTAAAGGGAATTTGTCTTTATGTCTTTCAGGACAAGCACTGTGTGGAGGTGAGGACACAAAGCAGGAGGAGGGGATTCTGGGTAACCAGCCTGAGACCAAATTTGAGGGGAGCGTTGTCATGACAATGATGAAGAGCGGGAAAAGCGTTCTTAATGGAATAGTTTGATTTAGGACGAATAGCAAATATCGCATCTGCGTGTTAAAGACAAAGCTGGAGTCAGTAAGGCGTTAGCTTAGCTTAGCATAAAGGCAGGAAGCATATCTGTCAATATAATACACATTGTTTGTCTTTCCATGGATTGCAAACAGAATCTAAACGTGTTAGCAACGTGTTAGCGACCTGTTAGCGGTTAGTTGACTCCGCCCCTTCTTTCTGCCTCCAGGTGTCCTGATGGCCTGATCACAACACAAGCTGAACTTTCTTTGGAAGCCATTTTTGGAGGACTGGCGAGCTGAGGATTGAGTTGCCGGAGACGCCGGCCACAGACGGACAGGAAGAGAGAAGATGGAAAGGAGGCGGAGGAGGACCGAAGGCGGGTCAAACCCGCGCGACCTCCTCTTCATGACCAGGACTCTTTTTATTGAGATAAACTCAACCAAAACACTTCCACAGGACGCTGCACATTCATCACCACATCGCAGCGCCTCTTACCGGCTTTGTCGCCATGCTGCCAACTGTGCCAATGTACTTGTGTGTGAGTGTGATTGCACACGGATCAAGAACTCAAGTTGGACCAAACCAATAACAGGAACCGGACCTGAGCCAATGGATTTGGTTCAGCGGACCTGAAGAACCCGATCAGGCGTCAGCGTGGAGGAGTCTCTGCTTCCTGGAAACACACCGAGTCAAACAGCTTCATGTGCTGCTCTGGATCAGTACATTTACTGCAAGCCGGTACCACGTGGCTCCACAGCAGCGTCCAGTGGTACCAGACCGGGACCCGAGGTCAAGTGGACTCGGTTAAGACTGTTATGAGAGACGTGAGCGACTCAGTGACTCATTAACTCATTAGTCTGAGACGAGTCGGACTCGTGGAGGATCGTGTGCGTGTTTGTGCACGTTTCTCATTAATGTAAAGGAACTGATGATGATGATGATGATGAAGATGATTCTATTTTAAATTCAAAAATAAAACAATGACTCTTTACTTTGTTGTTAAAAAAATCTTTTTAATTCATTTTCAAAAAAAAAATCATTTTTTAATCATATTCAGCTTCTGAATAAATACACTTACACATAAATAGAGTATTATCAATAAATACCAACTAAAAGTCATTTTAAATTAAGTGAAATCTTAAATAGAACATAATTTATATGAACATATATCCAATAGTTTTACTCTTCAGCTCCACGATCGACTTTGTCCAGTTTTCTGTTTGGAGACAAATAAAAGTAAGATGTCAAATAAAACAAATGGAATAATTGTCTCAAATTCTGTTCAATACAGAGCGGAAGAGGATCTATGAGTGATAATAATTGTTGTTTATATTAATATATATTGACTTCTAAAGTCAAACTTTAATCTATAACTATATTCTAATCATAATCATTATATGTTTAATATAAAATACCTAATAATGTAAAATAACTTCCTTAATTATCAATAGGTTTGTATTTATTCATCTCGTCCTACTATTTCAAACCATTTCAAACCTTTTTTCTATTAAACAATAATGATGATGATACGTTTTATAGACGTTTGCTCCACGCAGGATCCCACTCATTAAATCTCACCTGGCGGCCCGATCACTCTTGGTGCCGGATGACGGGTCGGACGCAGGTGCAGCCCACGGCGAGGAGGCGGGACTCCAGCCGGTAGTGGTAGCTGTGCCCCGCCCCCTCGGCCTTGACCCGGCGCAGGACCAGCGTCTGGTGCAGGATGGGTCTGGACTCCAGGCTCAGGTCCTCGCGGCCCTCCGGGTCCAGGCAGCCTCGCAGCAGGCAGCGCGCCTCGGACAGCAGGGGGGGGAACAGGGCGTCGTCCCGGGAGACGCTGAGGACGGAGACCAAAGACAGGTGTGAGCACGGGTCCCTCTCGGGGGGTCAAAGGGGCGGCGCGCTGCTCCTGTCCCCTACTTGTATGTCCACGGCGACAGAGAGGCGTTCTGCAGCGCCCGGGTGTGTGTGGGAGGAGCCACGGCGCCGGGGTCCAGCTGCAGGGGGACGGTCTCCAGCTTCCTGTGTGGCCTGGCCGTGTGCCTCGACTGGCCTCCTGCTTTGGGCATGGCCTCCGTCGCCATCATCATCATCATCATCGTCATCACACAGACAGCCTGAGGAAGAGGACGAGACTCAGGTTCCATTCCAGTCGTTGATATCTGGGTTTTTACTTCTGACTACATGTGAAGACGTGAAGAATATTTCAGCACTAAATGTAATATAAATAATAATATAGATACAAAATAAACATAAAAATACAAAAATGTCCCCCGAACACAGTAATTAAATTCAATGCGTTGCATGATTTAGTTTATCCCAAATAAAAATGACAATGTCTCACGTCCTGAGACCCTCCCCTCGATGGACACATGACTTCACACTATTCATGCTCGTCACACTTTAACTCACCGTTACTCTGGAGCAGTTTGCTGTCGTCGACATGCTGCCGCGTTGGACGTCTGTTCGTTCAGAATAATAAAAGCGTATTCGGATCTTCACTTGAGATCTTTCTGCAGGCTCTCCGGCTCCGCTGGAGGTTCAGGTGAGTTGAGTTCAGGTTGCAGATGTGTCCTCTGCTGGTGGTCCTCTTCTTCTTCGCTGGTGTTCTGCCAGACGTCGGCTGGAGCCCCGACCTTTATCCCGCTGTGCGACGCCCCCACCGATGATGTCACCGCCCGCGTTCCCCTTTGATCCGCCTCTCTGAACCACACGCAGGTCGACCCACTTTCACACTTATTCTACACGGCGCCTTTTTTCTGGGTCAAAGAACCATGACGATGAACTGGAATACGATCAAAGCCTTAAGAGGTGAAGATCCAGCTGTGAGGACTTCGTATCTCCATATGCTGCTATAATCATTTGTTTCACTAATAACAACGTGGGTTTTGTTCTACCTGCTCAGGTAGAACACAAACATCTTCAGAGGATTAAGAAGAGACTTTTAAAGCGTTTGGAGGTTCTTCCCCGAAGGCCTCTCGCCTTAACGTCCAGACTAATATCATTATATCTTCTGTTATGTGCATTTTAACATATTTAAAATGCTATTTCTTTACCTGGTTCAATAAGACATGAAGGTGTCAGAGACGCTTTAATGTCGAAGCCCTTTGTGACCATTTGTAATGTCTGTGGAGCGTCTTTGTATGAATTATTATACTATTATAAACCCTCCTTTCTCTCTTTATTTTGTTCCACTCCACTTTTATTTTTGATGATATTTGAACGTCACATTACATCACATGAAGTCACATGACGTCGTTGCGGCTGTTTGCAATGTCGTCGGTTTGAGGTCTGATGCAACAGGAGAAACTTCATCGAGACCACATCCTCTCTTTAGGGTCTCTCGTCTCCTAAGGGGTCCCTAGTCTCCACAGGGGGTCCACAGCTCTCCCCGGTGGGCCTCTCGTCTCCTCAGGGGGCTTCTAGAGTCCTCAGGGGGCCTCTCGTCTCCTCGGGGGTCTCCAGTCTCCTCAGGGGGCTTCTAGAGTCCTCAGGGGGCCTCTCGTCTCCTCGGGGGTCTCCAGTCTCCTCGGGGGGCCCAGGAACTCTCCCCCCCTTCCGTTCAGAGTCGTGTGATGCAGGATGTGAGCGCCGAGCTCAGTGACCTCGTTTACCGTCACATTGTGACTCAGGTCGGCTCACAGTGCTGCATCATCACTATCGGTGCGTGTGTGGTTGTGCGTGTGTGTGTGTGTGTGTGTGTGTGTGTGTGTGTGTGTGTATGTGTGTGTGTGTGTGTGTTTTCACGCCCACGTTTCCGCCTCAGCTCCGACTGGTTTGATTGACGGATGGTTATCGGTGACATCTGAGAGACATCCTGCTCCAAGCGTGACCTCAAGAATCTCATGAAACCCTTTGTTATGTATAACATATATATATATATATATATATATATATATATATATATATATATATATATATATATATTTATATATATAAACTTATGTTTAATCTACCTGGGAGGTTTATTAGGTTCATTCTTTGTTATCAGGCTGCTCTTGTAAATCTCTTAAGCCTCTCCAGTTGATTCAGAATGCTGCAGCACGTGTATTAACAAGAACTAAGAAAAGGGATCACATCACTCCTGTATTAACTTCTCTGCACTGGCTCCCTGTTAAATCAATAATAGATGTTAAGGTACTTCTCCTCACCTACAAGGCAGCTGTGCTCCATAGATGCTGGTTACTTGTTGTTCCTATGGTTTTAAAAAGTAGGCTGGGGGCCAGAGCCTTCAGTTATCAAGCTCCTCTTCTGTGGAACCAGGTTCCACTTTCAGTCCGGGGGGCAGATTCGGTCAGCTCTTTTAAAGTAAAACTTAAAACGTTCCTCTTTGATTCTGCCTATAGTTAGGGCTGGCTCAGGTTAGTCCGGACCAGCCCTTAGTTAAGCTGCTATAGGCTTAGAATGCCGGGGGAATTCTTAGGACACACCGAGCTCCTCTCTCACGCTCTCGTTCTACCATAATTCACGTTTTATTAATGCACAGGACTAATTCAGCTTCTCTCCAGGAGTTTTTGCCATCATCATTATTATTTTAGATATTAATCATATTACTGTACTCGTGAACCAACATTACCCTCTCCTAAAGTCTCTGTGCTCTCCCTCCCCACAGGCTTCTGTGGATGGTGGTTCTATCTGATGGTGGTTCTATGTGATGATGGTTCTATCTGATGGTGGTTCTATGTGATGGTGGTTCTATCTGATGGTGGTTCTGTCTGATGGAGGTTCTATGTGATGGTGGTTATATGTGATGGTGGTTCTATGTGATGGAGGTTCAATCTAAATAGTGGTTCTATCTGATGGTGGTTCTATCTGATGGTGGTTCTATCTGATGGCGGTTCTATGTGATGGTGGTTCTATCTGATGGTGGTTCTATGTGATGGTGGTTCTATGTGATGGAGGTTCAATCTAAATAGTGGTTCTATCTGATGGTGGTTCTATCTGATGGTGGTTCTATGTGATGGTGGTGGTCCCTGCAGTGGTCCTGCTGTGCGTCTGGTTTACTACTCACAATTACTTGAATCATCTGATGGCGGTTCTATGTGATGGTGGTTCTATCTGATGGTGGTTCTATGTGATGGCGGTTCTATCTGATGGTGGTTCTATGTGATGGTGGTTCTATCTGATGGTGGTTCTATGTGATGGTGGTTCTATCTGATGGTGGTTCTATGTGATGGTGGTTCTATGTGATAGTGGTTCTATGTGATGGTGGTTCTATGTGATAGTGGTTCTATGTGATGGTGGTTCTATGTGATAGTGGTTCTATGTGATGGTGGTTCTATGTGATGGTGGTTCTATCTGATGGTGGTTCTATGTGATGGTGGTTCTATGTGATAGTGGTTCTATCTGATGGTGGTTCTATGTGATAGTGGTTCTATGTGATGGTGGTTCTATGTGATAGTGGTTCTATGTGATGGTGGTTCTATGTGATGGTGGTTCTATGTGATAGTGGTTCTATGTGATGGTGGTTCTATGTGATGGCGGTTCTATGTGATGGTGGTTCTATGTGATGGTGGTCCTGCAGGGGTCCTGCTGTGCGCCTGGTTTACTACTCACAGTTACTTGAATCATCTCTGTCATATAGTCTCATGTATTATACATTGTTCATTCTGTCCTCATGGCATCATTGTAGTCTGTCCATCAGGAGACGGATCCTCCTCTGACGTTCTCACTAAGGTTTCTTCCCTTTTTTCCCTCTTGGAAGGGTTTTTCATTGTTGGGGGGTTGTTCCTGTGCCGATGGGTTTGGGGACAGAGGATGTCGTATGTGTACAGACTGTAAAGCTTCTGAGGCAGATTTGCGATGTTGGGCTCCACAAAATAAAATTAATTGAATTTAATGTAATTATTTATATAAGTTATTTAAATGAATAAATTCAGAGGTAGTTTCCACATTAGTCAAAATGTGTTGAATGTGTGTATGTGTGTGTGTGTGTGTGTGTGTGTGTGTGTGTTCAGTTTGTGAGTGTTAATGACAGATTTCCACCAATCAGCAGAGAGACGTTTGGAGGGAAAAGGGGTCAAAGCGTTTCCATGGTGATGCACTAGAGGACGATCAGAGGTCCCTTTGATCTTCTTCTAGGAGATCTGCTGTGGAAACACCTGCAGGGGCTTTTTGCTCTGATCGATCAACTACATCACGATACATATGTGCATATATATATATATGTGTGTGTATATATATATATATATATATATATATATATATGTGTGTATATATAAGTGGTTATTGTATTGTATATATTTTGTGTTTTGGAGCAATTCTTCATGCTAAAGGAGTTAGTGAAGGAAGCATTGAAGGCATCTAATTCTAACAGCTGCTATCAGGGAGGACACCTCAGTGTGTGTGTGTGTGCGCGTGTGTGTGTGCGTGTGTGCGTGTGTGTGAGTGTGTCTGTGTGTGTGTGTGTGTGTGTGTGTGTGTTTCCTGTCTCAGGACGTCTTTCATCAACGTCTTCTGGGATTCTCATCCTGATGCTCTCCTACATTTATGACTTAGAGGGCGTGTCTCCAGCGTGGCTCGCTGACTCCTCCCCCCTGATACGCCCTCCGCCGCGCCCCAGTTAGATTGTTACGTCGTCACCGTGTTCCTCCTGAGACACCTGAGCACCAGCCCGCCAAACTCCGCCCCTCTGCGTGCCCACCTGTGGCTGGATTCAAACCGTCAGAAGAATGACCTCCTAACCACTATTCTTTGACCTCTGTGGAGAAGGTCACGGAGTCAAGGAAAGGTGGTTAGGAGAGTTGATGAGGAGTTAGGAAAGGACAAGGTGGTGTTTAGTGAATGCGTCGTTGTGATGGACGGAGACGCTTGTTGGGGACGTCCGTCTGCAGAGGAGCGTCTCAGAGGCTTCATGTGTTGAGGAACCAATGAACCAATGTGGGACAGATGATCTCCTCTCCTTTCCTAAAGGAGCTCAGTAAGGACGCATTGTGGGTCCTTTCCTTCGCATTAGAGAATAGAACGCCACTTCCCTCAGCGAGGAGCCTTCCTGAGAACACTTGATGTTTAGCACCACGCTGCTAACCGCTAACAGCTAACTGTAGACCTAGAAGGAGAGATGACAATGAAGATGAAACAGTGTCTGGGTTTGAATCAGAGGTGATGATCTCTGCTGTTTCTCATTCTGCTCACGTCCGTTTATCTTGATGGAGATCAGGAGATTAGTCAGCAGGTAGTTTACTGTCAGAGCTTATCAGACCTTCATCTCTGCCGCTCTCGTCTCCTGTCACTCGATGGCAGAGATAAGGCGTCTTCATAAGAGCGAGTCACGGACGCCACAGACGATCACCGCGGCGACGAGATGGAGCCCGAACGCACCGCTAGAGCTCTGCTGGTGAGACAAGAACAATCAACGCAGATCACAGAGCGACACACATCACGTCTGTTTCTACGCTTTACAAGCTCTTTTTGTACAATAGGTTCTATTTTCTTAAAAAGTACTTAATATAAATACATGTACATACAGTACACATGTATATATATATTGTATATATATGTTTCACTATTCGCTAATCTCCAGAATAGAACTTTACGATCTAGGAAGGAACAGGTTATTTAAAAAGACAGTAATTACCTGTCCTCTTCTGTCCCCAGGTGTGTTGCAGTGCATTATGGGTAGTCAGCTCCTCCAGGGTTCAAGCTCCTCCCCCTCGCTGTGACTCCAGGCTGGCGTTCTCCTCGGAGGTGTCCTCGTCTGACGGGAACGGGGACATCCACCTGAGATCTTTGTCTCCGTGGAGCTGGAGGTCAGGATGAAGACATTTATAATGAGCGGTTAGCTTAGCTTAGCCTAGCGTCTGCTAACAGCTAGCCTCGCTCCATCCAACATGGGATACGTGTGTGTTCTTGATGGAATGGCTCCATGTGTCTTTGGGTCGACCCTTCAGCTGGATGTCAAACTGTCAGATTATAAATCTAAATACGTCTTTAGAAAATACTACGTATGAATTCTGTTCACGACCCGGTTTGTTGTTGTTCTGGATCAGGTCGTCCACGGTGACCCACCGGATCCCCTCCACGATCTGGGAGGCCAAGTGCGGCAGCAGCTCCTGCTCTGGTCCCGGCGCCGGACGGGACCTGAACTCCGTCCCCATCTACCAGAGCCTCCTGGTTCTGACCCGGCGGGAGCGAGAGCGCTGCTTCACCGCCTCGTACCGCTCGGTGGCCGTCGGCTGCACTTGTGTCAGGGCCAGAACCGGGCGGGACTGAACCGGCTCTACCGGGACCCGAGGCGTCATCGGAACTAGAACCTCAACGGACTGAATTGGACCCAGTCCAACCAGAACCAACCCGATTACAACAAAAACCATTGGAATCTGAACCGTAACATTGATTTGAGTCCAAACACAAAGACGCTGAACCAAAACACCCGGAAACCCGGTGAACGTGAAGGTGACCCTCTGAACCAGAACCAGAACCCCTGAACCCGAGTGGAACCAAGAGACCAACGTTCCTCGTGTAGATTGAGCGTTTTTTCATGTTTCCTTTTCTTGTTTTGGGATTTTGTCTCTTTAATAATAAAACGATTAAAAATACAAATATGTGACATCATCACTTTTACTCGTCTCTTTGTAATAGTATTTGTACACTGTGGTATTAGTACCTCTACTTGTAGCAGTGTGTGTGTGTGTGTCTCTGTGTGTGTGTCTCTGTGTGTGTGTGTGTGTGTGTCTCTGTGTGTGTGTGTGTGTCTGTCTGTGTGCGTGTGTGTGTCCGTGTGTGTGTCTGTGTCTGTGTGTCTCTGTGTGTGTCTGTGTGTGTGTGTCTGCGTGTGTGTGTGTCTGTGTGTGTCTGTGTGCGTGTGTCTGTGTGTGTGTGTGTGCGTGTGTGTGTGTGTGTGTGTGTGTCTGCGTGTGTGTGTGTGTGTGTGTCTGCGTGTGTGTGTGTGTGTGCGTTGAGTCTCATGATGTCTTAAATCCTCTGCAGAGGAAAATGAGCTCATTCAGCCTGAAATCAGCTCTAATGTGCAGACAATACATTGTGTGTGTGTGTGTGTGTGTGTGTGTGTGTGTGTGTGTGTGTGTCTGTGTGTGTGTGTGTGTGTCTGTGTGTCTGTGTGTGTCTGTGTGTGTGTGTCTGTGTGTGTGTGTGTGTGTCTGTGTGTGTGTGTGTGTGTGTGTGTGTGTCACCATGTGACAGCAGCAGGACGAGTGAAGCAGCAGAGCTTCTGATGCTGTGAAGGAGAGAAGAAGCTTCCTTCAGCGCATCGTTTTCTGTTGTGTGACCTCCGACCTTCTAACTTTGACCTCTGACCTATCCCATCATGCCTTGGGTGGCGTTGGACCCTCCCCCGCTGTGCCTCATCTCCCTCCCCTTGCTGAACTGGATCCTCCCCCCCACCGTGCGTGACGTAGTCGTCCCCCGTCTGTCTGGGGAGCGCTTCATCTCGGGGGGTCACCCGCCGGGCCGGACCTGCGTGCCCCGCCTCTTCCACGCGTGGAGCCTCCTGCTGGCCGCCGCCTGCGTGGCGCTGAGGTTCACCGCGTTCACCGTCCTGCAGGGAGGGGTACGAGGTCACTGTGTCCGTCACTGTGCTGGTCCAACGCTGCGAGTCTGACCTCCTGCTGTCTGACCTTTGACCTCCCCAGGGGATCCTGGGTTTTCGGCTGTGCGGCCCTGAAGGTCAGGGCTTCTCAGTGGACGTCTCCTCGCTGCCCCTGGTCCTCTACGTCTTCTCTGCCGTCACCTACCTGAGCTGCAGGTGAGCCAAAGTGAGACCTCCGCCTCCGGTGAGGACCTGAGCTGACCTGAAGAAGCGTGATGATTCTGAGGAGGTTCTTCATGTTCCTTTCATCATTACTTTGTTGGCCTTTACAGATTGAATGTTTTCACCGGTAATCTGCCCAGATTTGACTTTAACATTAATGTGAGCAAATACCTGCAGGTTATTGGGCATGTTAGCATGCTGATGCTAGCATTTAGCTTATTTAGCATTTTGATTCTTCCATTCACTTCCTTGATAACTGGCACTTTGAATCCAGCTAAGAATAAGAGGCTTTATCTTTAACTTAATCGATGCCTTACACATGGACCACCAAACCGTCCATTCACATCCAACATTCAACTCTAGAACCCTTTAGAGGAGGTTCCTTAGGCCACCAGGGGGCAGCAGAACCAGCGTTGACTCACTGAACGCCGCCGCATGTTTCTCGTCTCACTTCCTGGTTGTAAAGTCCTGCGTGTGTTGCAGAGCGATTCACCTCCAGAACAACAGGTGGAGTCACATGTTTTGTTGAAGACGACCTGGAGAGTCACGTCTTTGTGTGTGGAAGTCGCTGGTTGCTTTATTTATGTATCATAGACTTTATTGCCCCGTGCATCCACACTGCTGCTTTTCATCAAGGACACATTTGTCCCGTATTTTCCTCCACGACTTTGTCCCCCTCGTTTGTGGAGATCTCCCTCCATGAATCAGAGGCCATCCGGCGTCCTCATAGTCCGCCAATGACGGCTTGTACAAGCGCTCATATTTAAAAGCTCTTCAATCTGATCCGTTCTCTCGTAAACGTTCTTCCTTTTAATAACGGCCGTATTGTGCTGTGAAAACGGAGACGTGAGACTCTAAAGGACGTAGTCAGAGACCAATCACAGCCTGGTGCTGCAGGACGCTGCAAAGCTTTACACGCAAGGAGGTGTGAAAAGACACGCGGGGGACACGCGAGGGACACGTGAGGGACACGCAAGAGACACATAAGGGACACGTCTCTCTGCATTAACTAGGCTTTACATAACGCCATTGAGCTGCTTCCTTGCCGCTGACTGATGACCTGAGCGTTGCAGCGCCGCCGTCCGCCTGCTGGAGTCGCTCTCGGAGCTCTGGCGCCGCTCCTTGTTCCTGCTGGACGACGTGGGCGGGGCCGTCTACCAGTACGGCTGCGCTCTGGCTCTGAGCCTCTACAGCGCCGACGCCGCCTGGACGCGAGGCGTGCTGGGACGGGCCTTCCTGCCGGCCGCCGCCCTCCTCGCCTGGCTGTCCTGCGCCGCCCGCTGCTACGCCCGGCGCCGCCCCCGCCGACTCGGCCGGAGGCTGGGCCTCTCGGCGGCGGTGGGCGTGGCCTGCCTGCTGCACATCAGCCCCGTGGCACATCGCCTGGCCTGCCACAGCTGGAGCAGCGGCTGGGCGCTGCACCTCCTGCAGGTGGCGCTTCTCACACCTGTATTCTGATTGAATGATTCGTTAAACAGCCCCTGAACGAATGAGTCGAATGAATCGGTTCCTCGTCCACCAGGTGGTGCTGTTCCTGCCGTCGGCCATCTTGCCTTCCCTGCCCGTCTGCGGTCGCCCCCCCCACCAGCTCTCCCGCCTCCTGCTGTCCCTGTGCGTTGTGGCCCAGCAGGAGGCGCTCCTCCAGGACTTCCTGTGGAGGCGTGCGGCGCTGGTCCGGCAGCTGGGAGAGGAGCGCCTCCTGCTGGCCTGCGCCTCCTTGCCCGGCCTGGCGATGTGCTGCGCCGCCACCGCGCTCTCCACGAGGAGGCCGAAAGAAACAGAGACACAAACTCCTGCGGAATTTTGTTTTTACAGTTTGCCAACCAAGTAACAAATAAAGTTTAGACATAATAATGAAAACGCTCATTTGTCTCCTCCTGATTTCTCCTGCAACAATTACAGGAATTATATAATTATAAAATACTGCTTCAGACTAAAATAACAATAATTCAAGAATGACTTTTCTACTACTGAATAGAAACAATAGATGTTTTGTTCTGATTCCAAACCTCTAGACGTGTACGAGGATTCGCCCCTTAAACCTCGACTGTGACGACTCGTCTTTAATCGTTTATTCGTTGATACAAAGTTTGTAGTCGGATTGTGTCTCTCTGTTGTCTTGTGTCTCTCTGTTGTCTTGTGTCTCTCTGTTGTCTTGTGTCTCTCTGTGGTTCTTGGTTTGTGTCTCTAATCCGTCCATGGATACGTTGCGTTTGTACTGAAGCCAAAGACCATTTATAGACATTTAGTTGATTCTTGAATGCAGAATGTTGGTCTGGACTTGAACAAATGGTCTGAACGTGTCTTTTAACATTGGACTTTAAATGGGATTCGTGGACAGTGAGACAAATGCAGAAAATGTCCATCCTTGTCTTTCAGCATTTGTCCATCAAAGTGATATTAAATGGTTTAAATACTTGACAGGATATAAAAACACCAATAAAACAGGGAAACATAAAATCCACAAAGTGAAATAAAACTGGAGAAACATTCGGTTTGTATGAAGCTTCCGAGCAAAGATCTGTTCATCGTCTTTAAAGTCACATTGTCCCATGAGGGACGGGACGGACGGCGTCCAAACCCATAGATGTCAACATCGACCGCTGATAAGAGATTTCCTGCGGGAGGAAGCCGGTCCCGACGCGTCCGTCCTCAGCGGCGAACCCACCAACACGCTTCAGAACAACCGAACCAGGTTTGTCTTTGCGAGGCCGAACTCGTGACCCCCGTCACATGTCTTCGTACAGCAGCATCCCATTGAAGATGGTGAGGGGCTCCACCGAGTGCGCCAGTTTGCCCGTCACCAGGTCGATGCAGACCGTGTCCTGGGTCTGCAGGGGCAGGACGATGCTGAAGACGGCCAGGGACCCCGGCGTGGCCTTGGCCTCGGCCACGGGGTTGTTCTCCAGGCCTTCGGGCTGGTAGCCGCCGGAGTCCGCCCGCGCCACGCCGTAGTTGGACCTGGACAGGACCGCCTCGATCTTCTCCTTCCTGTGACCCGTCAGGGTGGCGCTGAAGAAGTAACGTCCGTCCACGGGGGCGGTGAAGATGCCTGAGTGGGAAACATTTGGGTCAGTAACGCGCCACGACGGGCACTAAACGACAACTCATCATAATGATAAATACGGACGGTGAACCAGCGGCGCCCAATGGGAGGATCACCATCGCCTGGTCCATGTCAGGTAACCTGGTAACCTGGTAACCTGGTAATTAGCCACCGCGCTTACTGACGGACACATTTCGTTGAACAGCGACCCAGTCGGCCTCCGACCAGCGCGAGTCATCCGGCGATGTCGTGACCCAGAATGCGTGGAATGTGACGGTTTCCTCCCGGCAGACGGCGGCTCGTTGGTTTTGATATCGACCTGATATTGACCGTGGAGCCGGGCAGACGGGGAATCGGACCGACAACCCTTCAGGTTTACCTGTTCTGGGGTCGTAGAAGTCCCCTTCATTGACAAAGACCTTGTCGAAGAGGACGGTTCCGGCTCTCTCCATGGGAACGGTGAGCGCCGCAGAGAAGGAGAGTCTGGGCACGTGGGCGTCCACGCCAGACAGTCCTGAAGGCAACAACGACCACGAGAAAGGTAACAAACAACAAAACAAAAGGTGGTCAACGAGCTGAATCATAATCCATTTCTATTTCAACCCAATTGTGGAAATCCGTATTAAAGTCGGTACCTGGTTCACCTTTGGGACCTGGAGAAGAAAGTGAACAGAGCAGCAGTAAGAACAGCATTAAACATCAAAAATAAAAATACATATTTATATCAGTATAAATACACAAAGGTCGTACCAGGTTGACCCCGGAAGCCAATCTCCCCTTGCCGTCCTGGGGGCCCGAGGGGCCCCTGGGGACCCGGCAGCCCGTTGAAGCCTCTCTCTCCTTGGGGTCCCGGGGGTCCGGGCAGGCCTGAGTTAATATGAGAACGATATGAACGGACATTTAAAACAAAGCATTTAACCCCGACTGGGGAACACCGGGAATAAAGTTGTGTAGATTTACTCAAATATAATATATATATATATATATATATATATATATATATATATATATATATACACATATATACATATACATAAAAGCTAAAAGCAGCTGTTACCCATAATTCCTTCTGTTTGTTAACGCGCTGTTTTCTAGTGACAGAGACTCTGTTAGCATGTTAGCAGGCAGCTAACGGGTTTTTATTACAGGGTGATCATGATTAGCTGTGATGCAAGTGAACAATATTGAATATAAACTAGGTTGTTGTAACTTTATATTATTATAATATATTATCTGGACATGATCTAGATTATGTTCTTAGCAGCAGCAGGTATTTGTGTTTCTGTTGGTTTGATTATTAATCTGCTGATTACTTCACTGTTTAATGGACTTTTCTTATCTGGTGTTAAAACAACACTTTTAGGAATAAGTGAGTCAACATGAAATAAAAAGCCTCTGTTAAGCAGCGCTGAGGACAAGACGGCATCAACACGGCGTCTTCTTCAAAGCTTCACATCGGTTTGACGGAGTTCTGCTGCTCTTATTTTACTGTACTTTACTGTATTAAGAGATCCCACATGAGGCTCTTCACATGCTTCTCATTCATAGAACTGACAACACGAGGACTTTACAGAGCTGAGATCACAGCAGACGGCAGTATGCGATAAATGCGCCTGAAAGTAATAAAGTCCGTCAGAAAGACACGGAGACAAAGTCCCAGCAGACCACAAGAACGTGTCCTGCTGAGAGAAAGACATGTAATGAAGAAAAGAAGAGCTGTGAAGCAGATTCACTTGATCTCATGAAGCCTGATTTGTGTTGGGACACAGAAAACAGCTCACCGCTCAGGTCACGCTCAGAAGAACCCTGCAGGTCCTTGAGGACCTGGTTCACGCTGGAGTTCAGGTTCTTCACACGGCTGTAGACCTCGTCCTGGTTCTTCTGGATCAAGTCCATAATTCCTCCGTGACGGACCACCGACTCGTTGAGACCGGAGACACAGGTCCACAGGCCGGACACGTGCCGGTTCAGACCTGAGGGATCAAAACACGGGACACCACATCCGTCATTTGTGTCGCAATCAACCAATGAGGAAGCTCCGGACTTTATTGCAGGGAGGAAGTGAGAGGGGGCGGAGCTTAGTACAGTTTAACACCGAATAAAACATCGGTACCGTCTTTGATCTTGATGACGGACTCGGAGACGCCGTCCAGCCGGCCGCAGACTCCCTCCAGCTTGGACAGCCTCTTCTCCAGCCCGTCTCCGGACCTCCTGCAGTCTCCCGTCTCCACCAGCAGCGTGCTCTCAAACCGCCGGACGTCCCCTTCCACGCCGTCCAGCCGGCGGCGGCTGTCCTCCACGTGCTCCGTCACCTCCTGCTGGATCTTGTCGAGCTCGGAGATGATTTGTCCTTCGTGTTTCCTGTAGCAAGGAAGGGGGGTCAAGGGTCAGGGGTCGGACGTTAGCTGAGAGAGTATGGGGCGCCGTTTGTAAAATGTTGCGCGTTCTAAAATCCTGTGCAGTTTTGCCACATTTAGCGTTATAATATGAACAAAAAAGCACGACAATATTGTCACTTTTCTTCACCACGAACGCACACCAGTCACTTTTTCAAATATTTAGAGAGAAATTCAACTTTTCCAAGGATAATGTTTGGCAGTAACAAAGTTGTTAAATAATATAAATGTTAAATGGAAATCTAAATGGAAATGTTAAATGGAAATGTTAAATCTAAATGTTAAATGTTATATCTAAATGTAAAAGTTGAATCTGAATGTTGTAAATGTATGTAAATGTTAAATGTTATATCTAAATGTTAAATCTAAATGTAAATGTTAAATGTTATATCTAAATGTTAAATCTAAATGTAAATGTTATATCTAAATGTTAAATCTAAATGTAAATGTTATATCTAAATGTTAAATCTAAATGTACATATTTAATGTAAATCTAAATGTTAAATGTAAATATAAATGTTAAATCTAAATGTTAAATGTAAATCTAAATGTGGAATGTAAATGTTAAATGTAAATGTAAATGTTAAATGTTATATCTAAATGTAAAAGTTGAATCTAAATGTTAAATCTAAATGTAAATGTTAAATGTAGAGTCTACATTTAGCTTTAGGAAGACTTGACGAATTGAACATTACAATAATTACGATAATTCACGCGCGACTTAGCAAGACAAACTAGCAAGTCCGGATGAATTAGCTCTTGTTATAGAGCAGGGGTGTCAAACTTATTTTAGGAAGGGGGCCACATACTGTCCACGTTGAAATCATGCAGGGGTGGGGGGGTTCACGGGCGCGGAACATTTACATTTAGATTTAACATTTACATTTAACATTTAGATTTACATTTAACATTTATATTATTATTTTTTGTTCATATGATAATGCTAAATGTGGAAAAACTGCGCAGGATTTTAGAACGTGCAACATTTTACAAACGGCGCCCCATAAGAGAGAGCGGCGATAAACGCGTGGCGGTCAGCTGGTTGCCTCACCGAGGTCGGTAATGACGCTGCCGTGTTTCTGCACCGTGTGTTCGAGCCCCTTCAGGGTGTCGTTGATGGAGCTGAAGGTGAGGATGACCTCGGACAACTCGCCCTGCAGCGTCTTCAGCTGGTTGTTGTTGATGGAACCCCCAATCACGCTGTGGCCGTCAAGAGGCTTCTCGGCCTCCAGCCCGGGTCTGAGGTCGCCGGAACCACCGGAACCACCGGAACCACCGAAACCACCGGAACCACTGGAACCACTGGAACCACCAGAACCACTGGAACCACTGGAACCACCAGAACCACTGGAACCACTGGAACCACCGGAACCACCACCTGCAGAGCGGTTAGCCTACATTAAACATCCACCCGGAGGTTCGTCCTACCGGAAACTTTACTTCATGAAGCAACCACTTTTCCACAAAATGACTTTTACAATATTCGTCTTGAATTATATTAATTATGTCTAATAAGAGCAACAAACTGAAGGTGAGAAAAACAGGTTGTGGCTCGTAGACCTTTATTATTATTATTATTATTTATGACTATTATATTTCTAGATATAAGATATAAGATATAAGATGCTGACATTTGAACCTTTAAAGAAGTGAGTGCAGGTAAAAGAAATAACTGAACCAAAAAGATCCGTTAAATCAGATCAAAAGTACTTTAGAACGTTTGAATAATAAATATGAATCGCGATGTTATGGTCGTAAACAGGTTAGCGTGCAGGGCTTTGTTAGCAGTCATGTCATTGGTCGATCTGACATGTGGGCGTGTCTTACATTGGCTCGTGCAGCTGCCGACGGCGTCCCGCAGTAAGCGGACTTCGTCCTCCAGCTGAGGGCACATCTGGAAGCAGCTCTCTTTCCTCAAGTCCAGCCGGACCTGCAGGGACTCGACGTGACTCTGTAAGCGCCCCAGAGCATCATGGGAGTAATTCCTCAGCCTCTGCAGCTCGGCCTCCACCTTCCCACACAGCTCGCCGTGCTGCTCCAGCAGCTCCACCTCCGTCACCGTCTGGTTGAAGAGCTCGCCGTGGTCCCCGGTCAGGGCCTTGATCTTCCGGACATCGAGGCTCAGGTCCACGACCTCGGTGTCGAGTCACGTGTTAATATTCATATCACAGGTAACAGCGGCAACAATTTAGTACTTTTACTGATTTAGCAGCTAGCGGCCAAGCTAACTCCACCAAGCCTCAATGCTTGAGGAGCATTTTGCAGGGAGGAGAGCAGATACCAGCTGGCCTAATAGCTCTGGAGATGTAGGATGTAGCAGATGTGTTACTTCTGTGACAGAAGGTTTGTCTTCTTGCTTGTCCTAACTAACACAGCTAACTAGCCAGCACCTTCTGCTCTCCTCCTGGTCCTCCAACAGCAGCTCACGGTTGGTTAGCGTGGACCTGCTGTTAACCTCCTCAGGTGACCTCGTGGGCCAGTACATTCAGCCATAGTTAGAAACCTTAATACAGGATTTGACAGTTGTCAACATCTCACCTTGTCAAGCAGAGTCTCTCCCGACATCGACAGGTCTTTGAGTCGAGTGTTAAAGTGTTGAATCTGATCTTCGTTGGCAACCACTCTCCACTCCAGGGATTTCTCTGCTGTACCTTCTCCTCCTCCTTCTCCTCCTGCTGCTCCTCCTCCTCTTCCTTCTCCTCCTTCTCCTCCTGCTCCACCTCCTCCTGCTCCTCCTTCTCCTCTTCCTTCTCCTCCTCCTTCTCCTCCTGCTGCTCCACCTCCTCCTGCTCCTCCTCCTCCTCCGCCTCCTGCTCCTCCTCCTGCTCCTCCTCCTCCACAGCTGCACTCCTCCAGCCTCCGGCCAATGAGGAATGTGTTGTTCTCCAGTTTGGAGAGCCTCCTCTCGTGGTCGCTGGCGCCGTCCTCCACCAGCTCCTTCTCCGTCACCACGGCATCCCTCCCACCGTCGAGCCCTCCTCCTCCTCCTCCAAAGCCGCCGAGCTCCTCGTCCAGGCGGTTCTGCAGAGCGTCGCAGTTCTCTGCGGCCGCGCTGATCTTCAGCTCGGCGTCGGTGACGCGGTTCTGGAGGTCGTTGACGGTCGCGCAGCAGCCTTGCGAGCGCACCACCTCCTGGCGGAGCTCGTCCAGGCGCTGCCGGTACCAGACGTCCATGGCACTGATCCGCTTTTCCAGAGCTCGGATCCTCTCCCCGTCCTCCTGCTGCTGTCGGCGCAGATCTCCCACACCTGCCTGGAAGAACACAAACCATCTGAACGACCCACAAACCTTCTGCTTCACGCGCTTCAGAATGACGTTTAATCTGGACGGGTCGCCTCAGGCGGTTCAAGTGGTACCTGACAGGAGGAGCAGGACAGAGACACCCTCCTCTCCAGCTCCCTCAGGATCTCCTCCTTCAGCGAATTCAGCTTCCCTCCATCTCCTCCTTCTCCGGACGGACCTCCGTCCAGGTCGTTGCCTTTCCCGTTCACCAGGTGGTTGTTGATGCTAACCAGGGTTTTATCGTGGGCCTGTTGGTGAGAACGTCGATGGGATTATTCTGCTGAAAAAAGGTTGAATATTAAACATCTTCCGTACGGTTTTGCGCCCTGACGACCTTCTTCTCACAGGAGACAAACCGATCCTCGCTTCAACAGGAGTTGATCCATCTGGACCTCCATCACGGTCACCTTACTAACGTCCTTCTTCACTCTGACCGGTGTTCACAGGTAAGACATGGACTCACCTGTGTGCGGTTGTCCAGCTGGTCCAGTTTGGTCTGAATGATGTGAATTGTCTCTTTAATCTCAGGCTGAGCCGCATCGGCGGGGTTCCTCCCCCCTGAAGACCCTCCTTCTCCTCCTCCTCCTCCTCCACCTCCTCCTCCACTGACGCCCGGCCTGTTGACTTCCCGTTGAAAGTGTTCGTTCACGGTGATCTGAAGGTCCAGGAGGCTTTTGGTCAAACTCTGGATCTTCTCCTCCAGCTGCCTTGTCTTCTCGCTCCCCGGTCGTCCTGGAAGAGAGCGAAGCTGCAACATCAGAGCTCCACTCGCAGAAGCTTTGACGGCCCCGTGGGGACGGACGCAGGACCTGCACATCCGTCATCAATGGGACTTTAATCTGGATCTGGATCGGTGTGCTGGACCCGCTAAAGAACAAAAGGCTCCTGAATGAATGTTCCAAAGTGTCCACTCACCGCTATCTCCTCCGTCCTGTCCGTAGCCTGCTCCTCCACCCTGACCTCCTCCACCTTGACCTCCTCCACCGTGGCCCCCCGGTTTGGGCTGAGGTCTGTTGGTGGAAATCTGGGTTCCGGCTCCTCCGATCGGCCCGCTGCTGCAGTCCTCTCCGCTGTAACCGTGGCAACACTTCCACTCCATCGCTGTCACCATCTTGTGGGCCACTTTGTAGCGCGGCCTCATGAAGGTCCGGTAGCTGCAGAGACACGAGAGGACGGTTAGATTACCCACAATCCTCTGTGATGTCAGCATGTACCCACGATCCTGTGCAGACACTGGTCCTGGGTCAGTCTCTAGTGATGGACACCACTGAGCAACTTGGTGGTTGATGATTGACACGGTTTTGTTGTGTGTGTATGTTACCATGTGTGTGTGTTCACAACACGCATGTACAAGTGTGTGTGTGTGTGTACTTACACCACCACCCTGCTGCATTGTCCGCCCCCCCAGCTGCAGGGGTGATAATCGGGCTTCACGTAGGTCTCCACCCCGTCCTCCACCACGCAGCTCATCGTCCTCTTCACCACGAACGCACACCAGTTCCTGTTGGCACACGCACACACACGCTACGTCACATGACCAGTAAGAGCCCGGTCA